TACATAAATTTATAACCAAGGCTCTTAGGTAAATGCAGATGGCTTCTTTGTAATGACAGAGCCCCCGCCACATAAACTGTAACAACTGAATAGGCATCTTACAGTTAACTGCAGACTGCACTGGATTTAGAGTCAATCAGTGCTTGCATCCAGATGAGCAACCAGAACATAGCTATCCTCATACAAAATTTATCACGATTAAGCCAGGACAATATTCTCTTTTAGAATTACAGTGTCTGCATCAAATTGTTGAAACAACCAGTTTTATTCTTGAACCTCAAGAAATGGAATTCAAAAAATATTCTTACTTCGGTAGCCTTATTTACAAACATTGTAATTCTATTGCTATAATTAAACTAAAAGGAAATATTCATGATAGATTAAAAAGCCAACAAAAATAATTATGAAGCTATGACATCAAATGCACATGTGAAACTCTAAGGGTCTAGATTGCACCAAAAAAAAAAAACCCTTCAATTTTCTCTTTATCAAATTCTTTAAAACTTACTGCTCTTGTCTTAAAAGGAAAAAGATTGTGATTGTTTTCTCCTAAGATAAATTAACATACATTCTTCTATCTTTACATCTATTTTTCTCAACTCCAACTTAGCCTTCCTTTCACTCAATTTACTGAAGCCATGTAAAGACTTTCAACGGGCCTATTAGCTATAGCTACTCAAGTTATCAGAATATGCTATGAACCAGCAATTAAAGGCAACATATTTATAGTTTTTATTTCGTAGAGACACCGAACTTTAAGAAATGGGATTTTGGTACTATCAGACAGGGTTGGAAAAACTAAGATGAGGAGGAGTAAAGAGGGACGAGAGAGGTTGTTATTCCTGTTCCAGTGACTCACAACCCAAAAGTATTTCAGAAGAAAATTGGTTCCACCCTCACTTCCCCCTCCTCTCCACCTCCAAAATGAAATTGCAAATCGTCAACACGCTCTCCCATGGCTTTTATGTAGCAACCTAAAATTAAGGGGCAAAGTGAAGGGGATGCGGAGTTCATCTTGATTAGCCATTCCCTTCCCACATTCCCACACTTAAACACCAAAAAATTGAGAAAAAAATTGCTACCATCTCCGCCAGATTCCTACCATTCAACTCAGTAATGGAACGTTCGGGCTCCCCCACCTCCACCCCCGTCCCGATCTCGCCCACCCTCCTTTTCCTGTTGACCCCATTCCGGAG